GGATCTGCAGCATAATGTTGAAAAGAACTGAAAGTGAACATTGTCTTAATGTTTTGGACATTGCACTGTTTAATATTTTTTCCATAAGTGGCCTTTATCAAATTAAGGAGTTTTCTTCTATTTCTGTTTGCTAATAGTTTTAATTATGAATGGATATTGAATTTTTTAAAAAGTTTATAAAGTTGTCCATGGACCTTTATTTTATTTATATGTGGTGCTGAGAATCGAACCCAGTGCCTCACATATGCTAGGCAAGTAATCTACCACTGAGTTATAACCCCATCCTGGATGTTGAATTTTAATGTTTTTTCCCTACATCTAATTTTTAGTGATTTTCTTCTTTAAAGTTATGATAGTTGACTTAATATAAACCCAAACAGGTCATATATGTATGTGTACTCTAATACATTGCTGGACACAATTTGCCAATATTTTATTTTAGACTTTTAATTTTAATTTGTGTTTATCATTGTGCCAGAGAATATGACCTGTGAGATTTTTTTCTGACTAGCTTTCTGTTCTACATTGTAGTCATTTTCTTATATATTCCACATGAACTGGAAAAAGAATGTATGTTCCCCAGTAGTTGCACATAATGTCCTTTAAATATCAATTAGACTAAACTTGTTAAGCTGTACAGATCTTCTCTACACTGATTTATCTTGTACCAGATTTCTTTACTGAAGCTTTAAATTTTCCTCTTGATGGCGAATTTTTCAAGTTTTCTTGAAGTTCATAGTGTTTGCTTGCTTTTTCTCTGGGCTTTATTGTTGGATGTATATTAACAGGATCATTCTGCCTTCTTTGTGGTGAAACTATAATTATGTAGTGACTGCCACTATTAATGTTTACTGCCTTTGCCTTTTTTGTTGCTCATTATATGGCAATATTTTAGTCAGTCTTTAATATATCTTAGGTCTTTCTTTGGCCTTATATTTTGAGTTTGCGGGAGATATGCCTTAAAGATAACGCCAAAGAATGTCTTTTTAACTGGATAATTGAGTCCATTCATGTCTATTATGATTACACAGTTGGATTTATTTCTAGGTCTTCATCATAAATTTTTTTGGTTTGGTCCTCTCCCTCCCTTCTTTTTTCATTTTATTTGCCCTTTGCTTTTTATTTTCAATTACTGTTAATTTTTTTTGTTTACAAATTTCACTTTATGTGTGATCTTTTTTTTTTCAACATCATTGTTTGCTGTTAATACCAATATTGAGYCTTTGTGGATGATTCTGTTGTATTTTGTCGTTTATTCATGGTGCCACTTTCCCTTGAGTATGTGATATCTTAAAATTTATTTTCCTTGGCAAATGATTTGAAAGCTTGATGTAGTTCAGTGGTAGAGCATCTGCCTTGCATTTATGAGGTTCTGGGTTTAGTCCTCAGAAGTATAAAAGGGAAAAAAAAATTTGAACCATGGACTGAAATTGAGATCCTTAAGAGATTTATTTTCTCTTAATAAATTTAAGAGAAAAATTTATTAAGAGAAAATAAATTTTCTCTTAAATTTATTTAAGATAAATAAATGAGACCAAATGAAATGATCAGCTTTATAATTTCAGGTAACAAACTTAAAGGACCTGTGATTTAGATCAAAATTTAGATAGGAACATTTCTTGCTGCCACCTTCTCTGTGCTGGCCCAATTAACCATCTAGCCTAGGCAGGCATGGTGGCACACACCTATAAACCCAGCAGATCACAAGGCTAATTTGGGAGTATCTAAAATTTGAGGCCCCAAGTAATTTAGTGAGGCTCTGTCTCAAAATTAAAAACAAACAAATAAAAAGGCTGGGAATGTGGTAAAGCATCCCTGGGTTCAGTCCCCAAAAACAAAACAAGAAACAAACCCCACCCCCAAAACCTACTACTAATACTAGGTAAGCCTATGGCCAGACCCCACTACAGCTACCAGTTCAGTGTCTGCAGAGTTCAAGAGAACTCTAGGGACAAAGCAAGCTGTGGTACTGGCTTACTTCACAGCAGTCCTATTTTCACTACACTTTTAGAGTTCTGTATGTGTATTTCTTGTTTTCATATCAACTTAAAGGTATGTTTAAAAATATTTTATACAATTAAACTATGTTATTCAGCATTTGGGTTTTTTTTTTTAAATATTTATTTTATTTTTTAGTTATTGGCGGACACAACATCTTTGTTGGTATGTGGTGCTGGAGGATCGAACCCGGGCCGCACGCATGCCAGGCGAGCACGCTACCGCTTGAGCCACCTCCCCAGCCCCGCATTTGGGGTTTTTTAAATGAGTTGTGATACCTAGGCTGTTTTACCATTAGAAATGAAGTCTAGGGGCTGGGGATGTGGCTCAAGAGGTAGCGCGCTTACCTGGCATGCGTGCGGCCCGGGTTCGATCCTCAGCACCACATACAAAGAAAGATGTTGTGCCTGCCGATAACTAAAAAATAAATATTAAAAAAATTCTCTCTCTCTCAAAAAAAAATGAAGTCTAGATATGCATAATTATAATACACCAATAAAAAGGGAAAAATGAAGTGTAGATTAAAACTTTAGTTTGCTCTTCATATCAGCAGGAAATGTGGTCCTTTATAGTATGTTCAGAATAACAGGATTGTAGTTCTCTCCTGCAAGAGTAGCACTTTTATGGTGGGAGACTAATACTTGCAAATTGGAATACACAGAGCCCCCCCCCCCCCCGGATTTAACCCAGGGGCACATCCCAATCTTTTTCATTTTGAGACTGGGTCTTGCTAAATTACTGAGGCTGGCTCTGAACTTGCAGGTCTCCCAAGTTGCTAGGATTATGGGTGTGTGCCACCACACCTGCTCAAGGAAACCAATTTTTAAAGATGTATTCTTCCTCCAAAGTAAGGAATGGCTCTGTCATTTGGAGAAAAAAAATTTTTGAGATGGAGCCTTGCTCTGTTGCTCAGGCTGTCCCCATACTTCTGAGCTCAAATGATCCTCTTGCCTCAGCCTTCCAAGTAGTTGGGACTACAGGCTTGTGTCACCACACCTGGCTGGATCTGGTTTCTTATCTAACAATGGAGGTCGTATATGCAAGAATGAGTCTCCTTGGTGTACAGAACTGGGCTGGGAGGCATTTTCTATTATGCTTGTCTTTGCCTAGCGGGTTCAGTAATGTCTTTCATACAGATGTACTCTGAAATTAAGCCCTGTAGAACAGGTGTGAAACAGACATGATTCTGCTTGCTCTTAGAAGACAATCAAGAAGTTTTAAGTTGTACTTGAAGAGGCAAAATTCATGGCATAGTGTCAGAATATATAACTTKGGGCATTTTTGTGGAAGATGGAGGAATTACCTGTTAAGATGTAATGTGCCCTCCTAATCTAGTACATGGCCATCAAGTTGCTGTAGATTGTTGGCACACTGACTTTACTCGCCGTACTCTGATTTGGCACACTTGTTGACGTTAATTTTGGCAAAGGAGTTCTTAACAATGATTGTCTTGCACAGGTATCTATTTACTAAGAAGTGCAAAAGGAAGCAGTCTCTGGAGTAAGGTCAGGGAAAGCTGTAACTACTATTAGGCAAGTTTTTATTGTTAAAGGCAATGGCCAGAAGCCAAAGAAATTAATTCATTCCTGTATCACCTGTGGCCCTTGACTGTGAAGGGATTCTGCCTCATGGTCTCACAAATCCTAAACTCTGGTACAAAAAGAAATATTATTACAAGAACTATCTAAAGGGGCTAAAACAACTTGTGCACAACTGTTACACACCTACTAGGTTTTGAGTGGTGCTATTTTCTGTATTTGGTRACCAGTACAAATGTTAGCAAAGCTTTCCTGGTGAAGTTTAAACCGAGACCTAAAGGATGAAAGGGACTTGGCCAGGCAGAGGGAAGGGGATACATGTTCAAGGCCATGACAGGAGGATGGTGGGAGGCGAAAATTCAGCACAGGATATCAGAGTTGATGGGGCACAGCAAGCAAGTAGTGAAGCTTGATGAAGTGAACAAAGGTAACATTTCCAGATCTAAAAAAAACACCAATGATATTTTTCTGATGGTACGGTACAATTCCTAGAAAAACAAAGTTAGGGTTGTTCCATTTTTTTTTTTTACTGATAAGCATACTACATAACTTAATATGAATTTAAGGTCAATACAGATTATTAACTCATATAAATTAAAACACAAGCATATAAAATAACAAGTATTATTTTGCTGCCAAGGTAACTTTGCCCAATACACATATCTATATATGTGTATTTTTTAAAATCTTGCACTGTCAAACGGTAGAAACTTTTTTTTTTTCATTTTTCACACCTAATTGTGCTATCATGGAAATCCTCTTAGTTGGGCCCTCATAACTTTGTTCAATTCAACTGTAATTGTTATTAAAGGTAATTGATATTCCTTTAGTTCACCAAGGCAACCTGGAAACTGGCAATACGGCATGTTTAAAGGAAAGACATAACACCATAGGAGAAAAGAACACAAGATAGTTCATCAACGTTATTCCAAAGTATATTAGGAAGGCAGCATTTAAAAAAATAATCCTTTCTGGATCAAAGTATCTCCATTATAATGTGGGTAGTGAGGGACAGACAGAAGCTTCCTAAGTTCCCTTTCCTACCTATGACTTACTAGCTGAAACCCATTGCTTAAATACTCAAAAAACCAGTATTTACAAAATTACAAAAAATTTAGGGTAGCAGAGATTATGTACTTAAGTTCCAAGGGTGGTACATGACATTCTGTTAAATGCAACACAGACCAAATAAGAAGCCAACACTGACCCTCATAGGCAGAGATAGTGTCATGAACCTGACACATGCATATGCCAGTTTTCTCTCCTGCATGAACAGGAAAGTCATGTAACCCAATTGATCTGATTTTACCTAGTTTTTAGTACTACTAGAGAATTATTGTTTGTTTTGGTACAAATTGATTTAAGATTCATCAGATTCGTTTTTTTTTAAACCAAACACCCAATCTTTTTTTTTTTTTTTTTTTTTTTTTTTTGAGGTCCTAGGGATTAAACCCAGGGCCTTGCTCATGCTAGGCTAGAGCTCACAACTTAGTTACATCCCCAGCCAAAATACACCCAATCTTAAAAATTTTAGAGTATAAATGTGATAACTAAAAAATGCTTTTGTCAAATAAAGTGGCTCAATATTTGGGCCAAATGGAAGATATTTCAAAAATATATCTATATGTAAGTATCAGATGCCTTARCATCTGCTACTTCTACTCCTAAGCAATTCTACTTCTAAGAATGTATTTCAAGAAAAGTCATGAATGTACACAAGGTTCATTGAAGTGTTTATAACTGTAAAAAGTTGTCAGTAGTCAAAATGTCCAATGGACGATTAAATAAATTATGATTCAGTCATACAACAGAGTAACAAACCAATAAAAATGATGCAGAAGACTATGCATAACCTGGGAAACATGTTTACAATATATTGTTAAGTGAAAAAAGCARGTTACAAAACAGTATGCACAATATGAGCCCATTTTTATAAAAATATAMATATTTAGCAAAGTAAGAGGACAAATGATATTTATCAAAATATTAWCATTGGTTATTTCAACACAGTAGGATGATTGTGGATTCTGCTTAACCACCCTCTCCCTTTTTTCCTTTTTGAATTTTCTATAATAAAGATTATTTTTCGAATGGGGGTAGGAGGCGAGGGAGTCACCGACTTCGGAGATGCTGCTCCCAAAGGTTTTTCCCAGCAAAGTGAACGTGTCTGCTCAGCCTGTATCTAGGAAACTGCTCTACCTCAGACACCTGGATGTCCCTCACATACAGTGTACACCCAAGCTTCCTTCTTGCAAGCTATCCAATAGCCACTTTTGAAATTACAATTTAAAGATCCCTCCTATTAGTTAATATCACCAAAAAGAATAATGAGAAAATACAAATCCTCACTTTAAAAAAGCAACAACTCAAGTACATACTGCTAAATTATACAAAGTTAMATTATCTAAGTTTAGTTTATTGCAAAGATCAAGACAGCACACTGCTTCTACTTCATAMYTTCACAGCACTCACTCCATTTTGTTCACTCACTCGTGCAAAAGGTCTGTATACACAATGATGTCCAATATTTCTTGGTTCCCATGATAAAACAGGAAACCTGATATTTCAATTAAAAAGGTAAAATGAAGACATTTATCAACAGACTGTAAAATACTCTTCTGGAAGAGGACACTGTTAATACCTGAAGATACACTTTGRAAAAAAATCAAATACCAAACAAAAGGGGCACCATTTCAGGAGTGCCAGGACCACATTAAACTGAAATGAATTCCAACATTCATAATAACATAAATCAAAAACAAACCTAGTGTTAAACAAAAGCTCCAGTAACTAAAACTACATTAACAGGCACAATGAACAGTGTAAACACTGTTAATGGGCACCAAGTTTAATAGGGCAGACAATATTTGCTTCTGCATTCACACTTAATTATTCAATTACATTTAAAAAACATTGGTGCTGCTTAAGCTATGAATGCTTTTTAACAAAAAAAGAAAAAATTAATTTCAATAAATACAGCAAGTGCTAAAAATCTAGCTAGGTTATCATGCAAGWTATTACATAGCTAAGACAAACTCAAATTTATAATAAAGGCAACTTGCATTCAAAATGAACTCTACYCTTATATTTTATTAAAAGGGCAAACATMATGAATTAACCCAGCTGCTTACTTGAATTACAAAAGTAACATGATTCAATATGAAAATAAGAAACTGTCTACAAATCTCTGACAGTAATAAATTGCAATATACAATGCATACAGGCGTCATACAGAGCAACAAACTCTTGTACAAAACAAAAATATTTTAATACCTTTAAAATCCAAATTTGTCTTTAAAATCATTCATGAAAAAGATTCTCATCAAGTCAGAATTAACACCTCAATTAGTCAAGCATCAGGAAGCTACATTACAGCTACTTAATATACAAAGAGACAGCGCTTCACCAGTCATTTCCTCTCATGTCTCTGTTCCCGAATCGTACACGCTCACTTCTCTCCACTCCCCATTCCGTCATTTCTTYAGATCATGAAAACTGAATTTGTTGAACACCAGAAATCTAAGATTAGAAAATTTAAACAGTGAAATTTTTAAAAGTTTAAAAGTAACATACATTACAAGAATTCACTGAATGAAAACAATGGACAATGTAAAATAAATCCACTTGTCCCAGATCTCCAATCTCCACTCCCTCTTCCCAAAGAAACTTCTTTAATAGTTTTTTTTTTTTGTGTATCTTCTTTGAAATCTTCTATGTGAATATAAACACATGTACATTTTTTTTAACCATTAAGGGACTACTATATGTTGTTTTATTTATTTTGGGAAAACAATTTTAATAACCTTTATCTTCTCATATCCTTAATAATAGTAACAATGTGTTGAATTACCTGTGATTAAAAAAAAAAAAAAAACAAAAACAAAGGATATAACTGAATTTTATACAGTTTAGGGCCAGGGTGTAGCTCAGTAGTAGAGTTCTTGTCTAGCTTGCCCAACGTACTGGATTTGGTCCCCACCACCACAAAAATAATAAAATAGTTTAAAATGCAAAGAAGTCACTGTACCTGTTGATAGGACGTTGTGTAAACCATAACATTTTGTTGTTGACCATCTGCAGTTATTAAGCCAGCTGGTAACTGGTTTGCTAAAACACACACACCACATACACACACACACACACAAAGAAAATAAAAAAACATGTTAATGAGGGAAATTAGTTGTACCTCTTTTCTTAGTCTGACCTAAAGGTGGTATCATTAATGTCTCATTGTCATTCTGTCACTTTTCTATGATGTAATCTTAGGTAAAATCATAGACCTCAAATTTTATGTTTTAAAAAAACTCCCTAAAAAGTACATTTTTTCCTATTGCATTTTTCTGTTTTCTTCACCTTCATATCTTTAAAGTGTACACTAGCTAACACATAGAAATCACAGAAAGGCTGGGTTTCTGAATCAGGTTAGATCTGAGTCTTGCTGGGAGCAACAGACAACTAAGTAATATATATTTTACAGGTGAGAAATTTATAAAATACAAACATATAGATATTAGATATTTCATGTGACAAATATACTCACCATACACCTTTTATTTCACAGTGAAATAAAATGAAATATGGCAATATTATTCTTGATTTTAAAAAAAGGAATCTTTGGGCTGGGATTGTAGATCAGTGGAAGAGCACTTGCCTAGCATGTGTGAGGCAGTGGGTTGGATTCTCAGAACCACAAACAAATAAATAAAATAAAGGTCCATCAACAACTAAAAGATACTTTAAAAATATTTTTTTAAAAAAGTAATACTTGAGCTCAAATTCGTTTATTTATTTTTAATATTTATTTTTTAGTTGTAGTAGGACACAATATCTTTATTTTATTTTTATGTAGTGCTGAGGATTGAATCCAGGGCCTCAAACATGCTAGGCAAGTATTCTATTGCTGAGCCACATTCCCAGCCCTCAAATTTATTTAAATCGCCAGATTTTATATTTTGAAGTATAACTGTGAATATTCCTATCTCAAGTGAATCTTTATCAAAAATTAGGGGCTATGGAAATCAGTTCTTTTTAAGTTTGCAAAAAAAGATTTATTTAATGAATCTGTGTTTCTTGGAAGGAATTCAATCAGAAATTTAATCAACACAGATCATTTAAAATTCAACCTCAGATCATTTAAAATTCAACCTCAGATCATTTAAAATTCAACCTATCATTAGGACCAAGGAGTAGCCTTGTGAGGTTATTAGGTGAGGCCTGAACTTCCTCCAGCTGTATGTGGAGTCACTTTAGCTTAAATCAAATGTTAGAGCTGCTTTACCAGCTGCATACATATTAAAGACTAGAAGACAGGGGCCAGGGTTGTGGCTCARTGGTAAAGCGCTTGCCTAGCATGCATGAGGCACTAGGTTCTATCTCTGGCACCACATAAAAATAAACAAAGGCACTGTGCCCATCTACAATAAAAAAATATATATATATATTTAAAAAGACTAGAAGACAGAAGGCTTCTGAACATGCAGTGACTCTGTCACCAGGGGAATCCAAATAGACTCCTTGGATAAGTCTCAAGTCAATACTGGGTTCTCAGAACTGTTCACTCACTCAGTGATGATGAGAATTTGTCTGTTCAATATAGCTACAGATCTGAGATTTCATGGTCTCTTATGATATCTGGGCACAAGCCTGGGTCAGAGCTCTATGACTTGTGTTATCTGAGATACTGCATTTCAAAGGGCAAGATGCAATCCTGAGAAATGGTAAGTGAGCTTTAGAGAATTTATATATTTGAAGGAGTCAGGTCCCTTTGAGGCTCTGAGGAGACTATGAGCTCTGCTGTCTGTGCCTAAGGCCAGGCATTCATACCTAGGGACAGGTTCTTAATAAACTGGTAATAGAGTAGTTATCAGTAAATCAGAACTTTCAATGAAAGGTTATAATGTCTTTCAGGTTAAAATTTTCTGCACTTACCATTCACTGGCTTTAAATAAAAGGGCATGAATTAATAAGAACCATTCAGGATAGTGCTATGTCAAAATACTCAGTGCTGATATCCCCCAAATACCAACCCAGACATTTAGCATGAATCACTAACAACTACATGACTTGTAACATAACACTGCTTACTAAATGCCTCCTCTGTAAGTTCTTCACTTAGTCCATCTGTAGCTGTGACTGCCCCACCAATTCYCTTCTCTCCTTTCATAGCCTAGGGAAAGGGAAAAAAAAAAAAGCAGTTACTGGTATGCAAATAAAACTTGCCCAAATGAGAATGCTTACTTATTGCCTAAAATTAGGAGCTTCTAAATTTAAAAATGTTAAAGAGTATTTACTAACACTTCCAGTTTAACAGCATTATAAGTCAGCATTATTAGTATATACCCAGAAAACCTAAAGTATATATGGTAAAAATAAATTATTCTGATTCCATTCCATTCCATTCCATTCCATGAAGGGATCATAGAACTTTACTTACAGATAAAGTCTGCAAAATATCTATAAATAGGGCTGGGTTGTGGCTCAGTGGTAGAGTGCTTGCCTAGCATGTGTGAGGCATTGGGTTCGATCCCCAGCTCCACATAMACAAATTAAACAAAATATCTATAAATAATCAGCCTATAAATCTATAAACAATCTAGGTTATCTCTCACACACAGAGTTCTCAGCCAACTGACAAATATAGAGAAGCAGCAAATTTAAAATTCCTAAATAAAAGTTACCATTTGGACCAAATATCTCTGAAGTTCCATTTACTCTAAGGTTCTAATACTGAAGATTTGGAAAAATATTGTGAAGCGTTTATACATTCTCTTCCTACTTTAATCATTCCATGTAGCTATTACTAATTTAATGGGATTCTAACATGAAAGATATAAGTGTATTTTGAAATCAAAGTTGGAAATAAATTAGCTAAAATGTCAACTCATTTATATAAACTTCATACTCAGAAGCAAAGATAGCCTAATAGGAAGTGTGGAAGAGGGCAATCAATAACAAAAGGAGATAGTTGTAACTTTCTCTTTTTATTATCTAATAAACCCCAAGCTTAGCAATGTTACCTCTTTTAAATGAACAGTAACAGCAAGAAGTAACATGGAGTCTTGACCATTATTCACTTAGTTCCCTCTCAATAATTCTATGATGAAGGCACTATTCTTAAGCGTCACTTTATAGGTGAGGAAACCAAGGTCTAAAGTATTTAAATAATCTGCCCAAGGTCAYGGAGTTCAAACGTAGGGCAGGTGGGAYGCAGACTCCAGGTTGTCTGAATCTAGAATCCTTTAATACAAGTTATGCTTTGGTTCTAATAAACAAAGGAAAAAGTACTATAATTTATGTGATTAAATACTTCTAAGAAATATTACATAATGTGCTAAAAATAATTTTTTAAACAAATAATGTATTTAAAATGTTAAGGTAAACAGTGCATCTCATTTTCTTAAAAGCATAATGCTCAGGAGACATTTCATTTACCTCTCTGAATTTCTGAAGATATAATTTCAGAGGTTCTACATAACTGTCAAAGCCTAAGGTAGACATGGCAAAGAGAATATCCTCTCCATTGATTGTCTTCCGCTTCTCTTGATGGCATCTTTCACTTGCCTCTGATGTTATAAAGCTTATGAACTCACTCACACATTYCTGCACACATTCTTTGGCATCTTTTGCAATCTGAAGGAAAAAAAAAAACACAGGTAAATTTGCAGGAAATATAACCATCACCTTCCTAATCCTGCAAAAATAAAAGACTATTCAGAAGAATGCATATTTTAGTTTATGACATTTGAATATGTGCTAATAACACAAATGTATGTTCTCACAATTCCAACCCTCAGAATCAGAAAAAAAACCTCAAATACCAACTAGAGGAGGAACTCTGACAACTATTTAACGACAACAACAATAACAAAAATACAGATATAAGGGGCTAGGGATATGGCTCTGTAGTAGAGCCGGCCCTTGCCTAGCATGTGTGAGGCCCCGGGTTTGATCTGGTACTGCAACAATAACAAACAAAAAAAAAAAAAACCAGATATAATTTGGATACCAAAGAACAACCACTGGATATCCCTACTACTCCATACAAGATGAAAACTAGGAAAAGCAATCCCATTACATCTACACTAAGTATACTGTGGGCTACAGACTTAGGTACCACTTCTCTGCCTTAGCATTTCCATGAATAAGGACACAGAAAAAATAAAAACAAACACTAAATTCACTTAAGCCTAAGAAAGGAGTGAAATACAACATATGGTGACTTTTTCACTACTGAGGATACAAAATGTCAAGAATGTATTTTGAGTTTATTAAAAAGCTTACCTAAAGAAACATATGCCTGCCATATCATCATAAAAACAATTCTTCCCTTAATGGTTTGGGGCCTGAAGTAAAAATCTAATTAATCATGCAATGATTAATCATGCAGTTCCAAAGCATTTATAACCACAATGACCAACTCCTTGCTGAAAAGCACTGTCTTTTTTCCTTCATTCCTATTTTGCATACTGGAGAAATTGAACAAGAATCGTATAAATATAGCCAAGTACATAATTTTGTATTTTCTAGTAAGCCATGTTAAATAAAATAGGACCAAGTGAAATTAACTTTAGTATTTTATGTACCCAATATATCAAAATTATCATTTAAACATGGAATCAATTTTAAAATGGGACATTTTCATCCTAAGTCTTTAAAACCTGGTGTGTTTTAATCTCAGTTCAAACGAACCACATTTCAATTGCTCCACAGCCACTATGGCTAGTGGCTTTGGTACAGGACAGTACATACCTACCCTTTCTATAAGCAACAGTCAGTAATGGTACATCTCCCTCCAAAATATAAGGAAGACCTTTCTCAAACAGGAACTTCTAGGCTTAGTGATGTGTGTTAATATTTCTTTGTAAACTATATTACCTTCGTAAGTACTTCTATAAGCTATAATAAATAATACAAAGGGTTACTCTGCAATATAAAATACATAAATGTGAATTTTAATTCAGACCAAGTAATGAGTAGTGATATGTCTTTAAAAGTTGTTCTAAGACAAAACTGCTTTAAAAAACAATCAWATGAGTTGATATGTTAACATTTACAATTRTGTAAGAGTTGTTTCCAAATACCAGAATTTTAAACCTTAGCACATTATTTCAGTCTGATCTAACCTAATTTTGCTGAAACATTATACAATTACAACTTCATAGGACCAAACCTGATACTTCTGATAATGCAATTATTTTAAAAAAGATTCTTAATTCTGGTTTATCTGCTTCCAATGAGTAGGTGCAGGGGAGCATTTGGGGACATGACAGAACTGAAAATTGAATATTGTTCAGTAACTAAGTATGTTGAAACAAGTATTTGATTTGCTGAAAAGCTGAGTAAATAGCTAACTATTGATTTACCTATGTATTCATGTAGTCTTACATTTCCCCCCCCAAAAAAACCCAGTTAAATTTCAATGTTACCTTTCCTGTTTGAGGTATAGCATTTTTCATTATCCTAGCCACGTTTGCAATTGGAAGATATATATCTTGTTCTCTGAAACTTTCTTTTGAACCATTTGTATCTTCATGATCATTCATGCTGTCCTCAGTATCTAAAGAAATTTTAAAAAATTTTTAGGTTTAAAGCTTTTCATAATTTTACTTCAAGATAGAAAGGACTATCTAAAATGACCTAGAGTAAAAACCATTATAGTTCATAATTTTTTTTTTAGGGATTCGTACAGCAGTTCTTTTCAGAATTTTCACAGGGTCAGAACTGACCCTATTCATTAATTTCAAACCCACTGCCTAGAATTTTTAAAAAATATTTTTTAGATGTTGATGGACCTTTATTTTATTCATTTATTTATATGCAGTGTTCAGAACTGAACCCAGTGCCTCACACATGCCAGGCAAATGCTCTACCACTGAGCTACAACCCCAGCCCCTCACTGCCTAGAATTCTTTTATCCTCAATAATATCTACTAAAATCCTATCTACCAATTTTTCAAAAGGCTAGGATAACATCTCCACAGCACCTTCAAAAGTAACCTTTCTTTTCATAAAATACCACAAGTACTTCTGTATGCCTTCTCTATCACACATCTTCTAAATTCTTTTTATTTCTCATCCCCTATGCTAAGATCATTAGTACTTGATTCCAAGGATCCACTTTGTTGTCCTAGGACTTGGTATAGGTACCTTCTCAGAGCAGGTGCTAGGATTTATTGCCTAATTTAGCTGTAAAACTAGCTGTGACAATCTATGGCTCCTGGAATAATGCAAGATTAAGCGGGTATGTGTTCATTCAAAGCCAAGTTTACACAAACTTATATATATAAAATTTACTCTGTATAAAACTCATAAAAGTTGATATAAACTTGTTTATAAGTTTATGTAAAACCCTACAGAGTGGAAAAACTAGACTTGAATATCACTGACCCAACTGGATCACTTAATGTAGTAAGTAGTTCTTTATAGCTTTAGATATAACTGAGGCTTTCATAGTACCAATAGCATCCTTTATGACTAAATACATAAATGTAAATTACATAAATAAAATAAATATAAAATCTCTCACTTTTGGACATACTAAATAAGCAAGGTACTGAAACTGATTCAATTTACATTTTAATGTGTTTAAAACAATATTATCAAAACTAATTTATCTGAATATCCATTTTAGGATGAAATACTAATCCCCTCCAAACTCCTTCTAAAAATATATCTTAATTTTTCATTTTACAAATCAAAATGCCACAAAAGTAAATTATTTCTAACAGGCCAACATAATACTGCCATTCTAATATTTGACATTGTTCAAAGTTAATACTGAATGAAAAAATTAAGTTTGATTGTAAGTGCTAGAAACATAATAGCTAGCAGTTTAACTCCCTTTAAAGAACTATTTTATTTACTATACCAACTGAATAAGAATTTCTCATACTTAATACTTACATAGGAAGTCAGTAATAAGTTTTAAAAGAAACAAGTTTTTAAAGAAAAGCAATACTTTTATAGAATTCTTATCTAGGAGTTATCACACTTTTGAAGATTATTTCTAATAAATACCTTTTTAGATCTTCAGTGAACTATGACATGAGATTGCTAATTTTCCTGGAACGACAAAAGTAACCTAACACATCATATATTATAATAAAAAGTCCACTTTCTAAGCCGTTCCCACGTGTGCATCTGGCTCTAGCTTTGGATTTCTTACCATCGTGAGGCTGTATCACATAATGACTTCCTCCAATGTAGTCTGCAGAAATTCCTAGTTGGGTAGCATCTGTTGTAGAACTGTCACCATCCATCTAGGAGGAAAAAAGAAAGCCCTTTAGCACTCTACAGTAAGAGTTGTACTAAAAAAACCCCAATAGATTCAGTGCTCATAAACTCTCATTCAGAGAATGGGTCAACTACATAACCTTAAGCTTACTAAAAGAAAGCATTTATATTTCTTGTTTTGAAATATTTTTTAGTTGTAGATGGATACAATACCTTTATTTTATTTATTCATTTTTATGTGGTGCTGAGGATTGAATCCAGTGCCTCACATGTGCTAGGCAAGTGCTCTACCACTGAGCTATAACCTCAGCCCCACATTTGTATTTCTTGATTGGAAACTTTCCAATAATTCGTCAGCAATTTAAGATTGCCATATCCATGTTCTATAAATTATAAACATAAAACCAACAGGGAAACACAACATGGAAATGAATCTAAAGCATTTGCCCCTTTTTTTCAATAGCATAATGCTCAAATATACTATAGGCAAACCTTGACTTACAATCTAACTTATCACTGGAATGCCAATCAAAGCCCAAAATCAGCTTTATAGTCTATTGGAAGTCACCTATCCTCACTGCTTTGAGTTCTCCTGCTAAAGTCTATGCATTCTTTGTTGTTGTTGTTGTTGTTGTTTAAATAACTTTATTTATTTTTATGTGGTGCTAAGGATCGAACCTGAAGCCTTGCCTGTGTGAGGCGAGCACTCTACCTCTGAGCCATAACCCCAGCCCCCTGTGCATTCTTTTGCTCCTCCTACAAACTCCCTTTGCTGTCTTACAGAATTTCCAAGTAGATAATGTCTCAGGTTATGCTGCTGCTTGGGTAAGAAGCATTCGGATTCCCCGAGCAGTGCTGTATCCACACTACCCACCAATACACCTACATTTTCAATGAGCCCATCACCTCTGATTCTAATCAAAGGTTAATTTTCTCTTCCTCCAGACCCTTAAGTTTTTTTTATTCTTTATCACCCCCTAGTAATACCCTGGGGTGTTTTACCACTGAGCTACATCCCCATCCCTTTTTATTTTGAGACAGAGTTTGGCTAAGTTGTCCAGCCTGGCACTGAAATTGAGATTCTCCTGCCTAAGCCACCTGAGTCACTTGGATTACACAACTTTTTGATAGAGAGAGAGAGAGAGAGAGAGAGAGGGAGGGGGAGGGAGGAAAGGAAAGGAAAGGTCAGGGATACCAAACATCTGCATGTAAAGATAGGAAATCACAACTATAGACAAAAACAAGAGTTAAAAGGATGATTTTAAAAGTCTGTTTAATTAATTTTGCTTAGAGCTCAAAGAATACTGGTAACATAGGAAAATTTGGAAAAAAGTGCCTATAAGCTCCATTCCATTTTACCACCAGCAGATTCTAGAAGGTTTTCTGCTTTGCAAATACTATTACTCAGAACAATTAAGGCACTGGCTATTTGTGAATGGAAAAATTAAAAATACATTATCTAAAAAGTATTGTAAAAATTAAACATAATTTATACATGCTTTCAGGCCAAAGAGAGAGATACTTGATGTTAAATGTTTATTAAGGCCTGAGACCCAGTGCAAACTTAATGTTATTAACTGTAATATTTTTGTCCCTTGTATAAAACTTATCTTCTCCATCTCTCTTGGATTTTTATTTAATGCTAAAGTACTAGGCTAGGTTCCAAAGGCTCAATAACATGGCATTTTTCTCACGCATCTGTTAATTTTGATGTGTAACTGAACTGTAGCTATAGATAGATATATTTCTAAAATTTACATAGTTTTTTAATGTAGTAGAAAATAAAATTTATAGACCTTAGTAATCTGTGAAAATACAGAATACCTGTTTATTCACTGATTTTTGGTGGCTCTTAGGATTGCCACAAGGTCTGAACTTTCTGACCCTTCTGTTGTCCTCCACAAATAGCATCCTTGCAAGTTCTAGGTATTTCTATATAAAACAGAAACATCAATACTGCTCTCTCAATCTTAAAATGATATAAATGTATATGAAGTATTAACCCAATACAAGACACTATTTTGATCCTAAAATGTTAACAAAACCCAGGAAGAGCAGGTTTCTGAAGATGGTCCTTTAGAATGGCTGTGAGTTCACTACTTTTTACAATAACCTAAGGAATGTCAAGGTGCAAGTGGCCCCAAGTGGTTGTTTCAGAACCTTCAACTGCAAACAAATCTTTTTTGGGAGGTACAAGGAACCAATAACAAGTTCTTTTGATAAATGAATGTACACAGTATACTAGACTCTTGGCTGATAAGCAAGATAATGTTCAAATAACCAGGTGGTTCTGATGAATTAATTTATAAATATAACACAAAACCATTAAAGGCAAAAAGTTTTAATCATATTATCTTGTCATGCATTAGAACTAGCAGCAAGATTATCATCTGGATTAACAGCATTAGCCTTTCAGACCTCAGTCTTCTAAAAATGAAGATCAAGTTATTTCCTAGAGTTGTCAGAATAAAGACTAGAATACTGCTAAGGACAGTGACCCAGTTGTATTGTACTCCACAGACACTGGACCTAGCCTCCCTCCTTTGAAGGGTTGCACATTTCTGCTTAATTATATGTTTTTGGTTCTGCAAGTTTTAGCATTTCTGTCAAGTTGCACCTTCTGTTGTTCTTTACGTTTTGTCTTTCTACCATTAAAATCCCAGCCCTGACTTTAATCCCAATGTTCCCCATCCTGCTGGAATCCTTTCTAATTTATCTGATTCTGCAATCCAAGGGCTTATGTTCACTTCTTTGAAGACCTATAGCACTGAGCCCCTTCATTCAGCCAATCAAAATCTGATAAACATGCTAGCCACTCCACTATAAGGAAGGAATGGTGGAAAAGACTTGTTAGGGTTTTTTCTAGGTCTAATCTAAAACCTCCTATAAAAATTTATAAAACAGAATGTAGGTCACAAGTCAGTCAACACATATTTTCCTGAGTGAACACTGAGTGTTTGTCGGGTCTGTGCTATGTATGATAATGAAGCAGTCAACAACACGGACAAGGTCTCTGTCCTCATCCTGCAGAGAAAACAAAGTTACATAACCTGGGGGCAGGAGGAGGGGCAGAGAGCATAGTCTATTGGTACTTCCAGGACACAGGCTCTAGAACTCAAATCACCTACTTTGAATGCCCTGCTACTCAACTGGCCATGAGACCTTGAGCACATTGAATGAGAACAGGACTTAACCTCACAGGGCTTCTATACAAGTTAGGAGATAATTAGTACAGTATTATGGAATACTCGCTTTACTCCATTAAAGGTCCCCATGAGTCTGAGGGATCAGGAAGTTTGGAAGAGGAAATGGCATTTAAACTGACTGAAAGATGAATACAAATCACTCAGGCAAAAAAGAAGTGGGAAAACAATATTCCAGACAGAGCAAACAGACAAATACAGTATTAGGGGATTGGAACTAGTTAAATGGGATGAGATCAAGCAGATCCTTGTAGACAAGAGCAAATAGGGAAAAAAAAAAATTAGGAAGAGTGCAAATTAGATTTTTTTTAAAAATTTCTTTATTTTTTGGTACCAGGGATTGAACACAGGGGTGGCTCAACTAYTGAGCCATTTATTTTTTTACTTTGAGACACAGTCTCATTAAGTTGCTTAGGGCCTAAGTTGCTGAGGTTGGCTTTGAATTTGCCATCTTCTTGCCTCAGCCTCCTAAGCCACTGGGATTATAGGTATGAGCCCAAAGCACCCAGCTAGATTTTTTTCTTTTTAAATATTTTTTTTTTAGTTGTCAATGGAAAAACCTTTATTTTATTTATTTATATGTAGTGCTGAGAATCAAACCTCGTGCCTCACATAATGCTAGGTAGGCACTCTATCACTGAGCTACAACCCAGCCCTGGATTTCTTTTTTAAAAGATCATTTTAGGCGCTGGGGCTATAGCTCAGTGGTAGAGTGCTTGCCTTGCATGCGTGAAGCCCTGGGTTCTATCCCCAGCACCACGTAAAAATGAATAAATTTTAAAAAATGAAGATATTAAAAAAAAAAGATCATTTTAGCCAATAGAGAAAACCCATCCAATACAAAAATGACCTGGAGGGGAACAAGAACAGGGGCAGGAGACTGATAGGGATGATACTGCTGCTGCTAAGACATGAATTCAGGTAAGAGGGTGATTATCTCAGCATCTGCTCCAAGGACAGAGCCCTGGAGATCACAGGAAGCAGTGTCACTAGCAAGAACCAGCAGAACTTGGTGACTGGCTGAGTAAGAACTCAAGGAAGGACGAAGGATATTGCTGGGATTCTCCTGGCTACAGAGAAAGGGAAAGGAGAGGGATGGGAAGACTGGGCCACACAGGGCCTAGCTGATGCTGGTGGCTCTCAATGGTACTGACGTGTCCCACTGTGACACTCATAGGCTTGGTATAACAAGAGAAGCTAGTGTTGGATTTCATCCAGGGGACAAAGGGAGAAGAGCCGGTAGGACAGAGAAAAGAGCAGTGGTAAAATGATGAATCACTAAATYGGAGGGTACTGGTAAATATGGACAAAGAGTAGTTAAGTCTCATTATGATAATTTTAATGACATGAATTATTTAGCGGAACTGGTATAATTCTCCAAAATATTATGGGCGGGCAAGGAAGATCTGCTTTTCAACTATTACCACTCTATAAGGAACAGTTCAACCCTTCCCTCTTCCAGACTAAATCAGCTGACTAATACATTTTTATTCTATTTTTTTGTGTAAGCAGTATTTATACTATGCTAAAAATTTGTTACATAAATACATTAAATAGTGTCCTCTTTCTGTGTTTACATTTATTTAACACTTTCTATATATCTCACACAATGTTCATGATACCATACAGCAGGTAAGAAAATTGAAGTGTATGAGGCTAATAATTTGTCCAAGGTGACACAGGAAGTGRGATTGAAATCTAGAGCCTCAAATGGCAAGCACTTCACAAACTGCATTCCTGGTAGCTTTCCCTGTAGTCCTTAAGCCTAATCTTTAACATTCCTCTTCTAAATTCTAGGTGTATCGATTCTATATTGAAAGCATTTAAAATGCCTTCTCAAGCAAGGGCAATATTTGTGAAATGGTCAAGAACGCCCTGTGGCCTGGGTGTGCAGCGTGGCTCCCCTTTACTAAGGTGCCCATGAACAGTGCTTGCCTTCCTTTTTGTGTTCCAGTTTCCCCATTTTAGAAATGGGGTTGCTCTGAGAAGTTACTGTTTAAAAAGGACCTAGCCACGTGCATTAAACACATAGCAAGAACAACAAATGTAACCTGGTGTGATTTTTATCTCTTTAAATACAATTCTTTCTAGGCACAAAGAGTTCTCTGTCTCTCTCATACATATGACTTATCTTTCTAACTGTTCTGTGGATCACATTCTGAATTAGGATAAGAAATAATACAAGAATTCCTCATCTCTAATGTGTCTTCAGTTCTCCCTGCTAGCTTCTTTGCATTTCCTTAAACTTGTCATCTCCCTCATTACGTAAAGAAAACCTTAATTATACGCCACTATTTGTGAAGCTACCATGGTCACCCTGCCATGCAGTCCTTACATACCTCTCCATTCCCACTTAAACTCCTTGCCATCTGCTTTTCGACCTACGTCACATGACACCACTCTCCAAGCTGCCAGTGCCCTTGCCTTCATCCTACTTGACATCTCTGTGGCGCCTGCCACTGCCGACTTCTAAGGCAATAACAGCGCCTAGTTTATTCTTTCTTCYCATCCTCTAATTGGTAGTTTCCATCCAAGGTTATTGTTTTCTCTCTTTCCCTTACTATCTTAATGAACTCATTAAGTATCACCTCTATGCTCATAAATCTCAAACCTATAACCACTATTTTGCCTGTCACATGAACAACCCACAGTGTAGAATGTGTTGATATTCCATCACCGCAAACTAAGATAACGGGAAACGAAACTCACCTCCCCCACCCACTACAGGGGGCGGGCAAGGAAGATCTGCTTTTCAACTATTGCCACTCTATGAAGAACAGTAGGACCCTTCCCTCTTCCAGACTAAATGTACCAGAGTCTTCTCAAGTGGGTCCACCTCCTTCAAGACTAACTCATTGTTACATCTTTTACTATATTGCCTGGATATGCCCTTCCTTTTCTATTTCCACTGGATTACTGCCRACACACCTTAACTGTTGTGTTATGACTAATATATTTACTATAACATTGGTTCCATAGTTCTTGAACCTGTTCTTTAAGGTTCCTAAAGGTTTTCTGCATCAGGTCCAAACCTCCTTTTCTCAGCTTTATAAGAGCAGATCCCCCACTTAACTAAACTTCTTTCCCACTCTATCTTAAGGACTAATAAAAATTTTAGTACTAGAATGTTCCAGAGTGAGGCAACCATGATTCAAAGACATTGTGATATGCCCGAGGTCACAGACACTGTAGCAGAACCAGAACTAAATATCCAGATGGCCAAGTGGTATCTTCAGTACATGATTGTGTGAAATTCCCACTCAAACTGTGTACCCCTGTCCCCCATCCCTTAAGCAARGGCTCATTCCTACCTCCAGGCTTTTGCTTTTGGTCATAACCCTCCACCTATCCAATTCAACCCATCCTGCAGGCTCAGTTCAGGCCGCCAGGCTCCTTCCATGACATTCCCAACTATCTGCCCATCATACCTCTCTTCCATCTGCGCTGCATTGAGAGTTAGCATGTTCCATTCATCACAACACTGACAGAGGTCAGTATTCAGTTTGACTAAAGTGCTATCAGCTCAACAGATAGCTCCTAAACAAAGCTGGGACAGACTGCTACCAGTAGCCTTAGTAGCACTTAGGAATCCACGGGAACCACTCAACATTTAAGTAACCAAAAATAARGACACAATGGCAATGAGCAGAGGGGCTATTTGTTTAGACTTGAAAGGCACTCACTGTGTATCAGGAATCTCCAATGGATAATTTTGTTTCAGCTAATTACTCTTCATACCAAATTAACAACCAAAATGGTAAGACCTACTTACTGTCATGAAATACTGTCAGAACCGTGTTGTCAGTGGTGCTCAAGAACACCTATCTAAAAAGGTATCCAATCTCTGTCCAATTTCAACCTAAAAAAAAAAAAAAATCTATTAAATGTATAGTATACAGGTTTTCTTTTCTAGTAAAATTAAAGAGGATGCATACAGTTTTGTCTACTACTCTTAGTCAATGGAGATTGAAAAGCAGACACCCAATGAATGCTTACTGAATTAGAAGATTTATTTTGGAGAACTTACAAAAAAGTTAATTCCATGGGGAAATTGCTTTTCTAATGTAACTCTGAATTTAGTCACGCTCATCTTAAATATTCATCACAGTTCACCAAATAGGGTCCAAATTATATACTGTGTAAGAAACTGAAAATTATGCATCTAAATTACTTGAAATATTAACAGGCAGGACACAAGTACTCTACTTATCAACATAATTTTTTGATGACAGTTTTCTTAAAGTTTCGGAGTGAGATTTGGGTGTTTAAAAGCTCAAAAAGGGGACATTTATCTCAGAATATGCTTTTTAATTAAGTACCTTAGATTATACTGGGAAAAACATACACACTGTCCAGAGAACATAAACTCCCTGCCCCCCCAAAAAAAAAAAACCCATACACACAAAATCAAGCCCCTTTTTATCATTTTGAAGCACCAACATTTTGGACTAAAATTTCATCTGAATGGCACTTCAGTCTCACCTCACAGAATAAATAGCTGAATAAATTAGTATCAATTACAATGTTACAACCTTCATTTCTCATTTGCTCTTTTCCTTTTTTCAATGAAACAATTAAAGGGGGGGCTTGATAGAACAAAAACATCTTTCTAGTGTTAATTTTAGAGGGAAAAGAAATATTGATTTGCATTCAAGCATGAAATCTAGTAAAGAGCAGAAAATATTGTAGCCACAGAGCTTAATTTTTAAAATGCCACTAAAGGGTCCAGGCAGTGTCAGCAAAGACTGCCTGACATTTGCTATAATCTTAAAAAGTAATTTCCAATGTCTTTTCATAGAGTGCCCTCTTTCTAGATCCAAAGCTGCCCAGTAAAATTTCTTCCTTGTAATTACCCCCCCCCAAAAAAAAAGGTTAGGATGACTTTAAAAAATAATGCTCACAACACCTAAAATATTATACATACACACATTCACACACACATATTTATATATACTTGACTTAGAATGGGGAGGGCAGGTGAGAGCCCCCTAGTCACTCAAATACTTGATTGAGTATATATTTAGGTTCAGTACATTGAAGAAAAACACTACTGCTTCATATGGAATATATTTTCTTAAAGGCAGGTTATGATGTATGTGAAAACTCAAGGGAATACATACATCTGTTTAATGTTTGAAGAAATGCAAATTTGTATCCAAGAAAAGCAGTAGTCCCTTCCTCCAACCTCCATTCTTTGGCATCAACAACCACAGAGTTTTGCATCGATATAATCTTTAAATTAAGCTACCAGAGCAGTGCAGAGAAGGAATAATTGCCTTTTAAGGAATTCTGGTTAAACTTTCAATACTTTACCAATAAAACCTCTAYTTACTAATGCCACTGCTATTATTGATCAGTTTATCTCATCACTCTATGATGCTGATTAGTTTCCATTCTAAGCGAGCTGAAGCCACCCCAGCGATTTGTGCCASGAATCGTGGAACTAGGGAGTCCATGCGGATTAGTGGGATGCCATTTTTTTAAAGGTCGCCGGCTACCTAACCTTGTCTTGTTATAGTACTTTGGGCGCGATTACGATTTGGGGGTGCTCGTAATTCTTTGTTCTCGGAGACTACTGTTCCTTATGGCTCTGCACATCCTCCCGCCTCCCACCACTGATGATTAAAACCTCAGTCCAATCCGAAAGGCTTCCTTCCCACCTTCGGGGCAAGTCCAGGGACCGCAAGCCGCCAGATGGCTGCATTCTTTACGTGCAAACCAGACTGCGGGGAAACCAGAGCCACTCCTTCCRCCCGGGGACCTCGCTGCTCCCCACGCAGGTGCCCGGGGTGGCCCCGGCCCGCCGCCGGCTGAGGTCGACCTGTCAGACCCGCGTGTGCCGGGCGGGCGCCCCCGGGGCGCATCCCCTGCCGCCCCGCGGCAGCGGCCCCGCGCCCAACGCCCGCCCGCCGCGCGGGCACACAAAGCGGCGGGCCCCGCCGTGCCCCCGGGCGGGCGGCGGCCGCGGGACCCGAGAGACGACCGCGGCCAGGCAGGGTCGCCGGAGCCCGCGCCGTGCCCCCGCCCGCGGCCGCCTCCCGGCACAAAATGGAGCCGGCTAGGGGCGCCGCCACGAGGGGCCGGCAGTGCCCGGCAGCCTCCCCTGGCCCGGCTCGCGGCAGCGAGCAGGAGGTCGCCTGGCCCGCGTCCCGCCGCTCCAGCGCCCGGCGCACAAAGAGCCGCGCCGCGGCCCGCGCCGCTCCCGGCCCGGCCGGCCCGCAGCGGGAGCGCCTCGCCGGCCCGGCCCGGCCGCGGCCCCGACTCGGCCCGGCGGGCTGCAGGGAGGCGAGTGCCCCCGGCCGCGGCGGCGTTGGCGGCGGGGACGGCGCCTGGAGGAGACGGACATTTCATTCGAGCTAAAGTGGAGTCGGTTTAGGAGCGATCATTGGCCGAAGCGAGACACAAACCTCCAATGCAGCCCTGGTTGGCTCCCGTCTCCAATCGGCTGTTTGGTTGGACAGAAAATGGCTGCGAAGGAACCAGTCCCAGCGCGGAGCTCCGCTTCCAGGACTCGGCCTCCCCTCCCTCCGCCGCGAGCCGCTTCCCTCCACTCGACACCCTCCCTCCGCGCGGCTCGCGCGCCGCGGCCCCGCCCCAACCCCGCCCCTGCCCCGCCCCCGGGCCCGCCCCGCGCGCCTGCCGCTGCCGCTRCTGCTGCAGCCACAGCTACCGGTGCGGGAAGCTGCGGCGCCGCGGGCCCTGCGGCAGCTGCGGGGACTTGCTGGGTCTCCACCCTCGCTCGCGGTCTAGGTGTTCACCGGCSATCTCTCCATGTTTGCACCGGCTTCTCTCCGTGTTTGCACCGGCCGGTGCGGAGCGTGACTTCTCAGGCCTTCCTCTCTTTGTAATCCCCTCCCTCCCCACGAGGAAGCGACTACCCCGCCTGAGTTCAGCCTGCCGGCGCTTGGATTTCTAAGAAGGGGAGCCAAGGTCCTGCCTTGGGCTCTGCTAGGGCGACTTGGAGCTCGAAGTGGGTTTGAACGGCCGCCACCTCCCGGGATGCCTTCGACGCTTCGTGCTTTTCCTTGTGTCCCTGTTAGCGTTGCCAGGTACACAGCACTGCCTCAGCCGTTCGCCGAGCACTGCTGTTAGTTTTTCATATTTCATCCAAAGACACGAGCTCCTTCCTCCTCAGGTTTAACGGGTTGCTTGGCTTAGCCTGCCTCCACCCTGTGCTCTTGAATTCAAGATGTTGCATTTCCTATCCACTTCTTCCCCCCGTAGATTGCATAGTAGTTGCAACCTGACTTGGCTTTTCTCAACCAGATGACGTTGTGGCTGCAAGAATCCACAGCCGTTCTTGCATCTTTGCAGCCAGATTCCTTTCTTAGCCTCACTGCAGTCTGAATCAAACTTGAATTTCTCTGTGCCTGTGACCCTCCCAGATAAGCAAGCGCTTTACCACTGAGCTATACCCTTAGCTCTGTAAAGAAGTTTTAATAACGTGGGGAGATGTTTAGAATAAACAAACTATGGGAAGATACATGAGCTCAATTTTGTAAATCTATATGAACAGAGAAACCAATATGTCAAAAATCAGTGGTTTTCCATTTTATGATAGGTGCTCAAAGCATGTTCACTGATTACAGTTAGGAAATCACCCATAGGGTCTTTTTTTTTACTATGTGTCAGTCAGGACTTGGGGAGATGGTGTGGAACAAAACCATGTCCCTGCTCTTAATGGAACTTTCTTGCTTTCTTTAAATTTTCTTTTTCTTTTTTTCTTTCTTTCTTTCTTTTTTTTTTTTTTTTTTTTTTTTGGTACTGAGGATTGAATCTGGGGATGCTTCACCACTGAGATACATCCTCAGTGTTTTTTAATTTTAATTTAAAAAAAATATTTTTTTTTTTTTTGTACCAGGGGTTGAAACCAGGGCTGCTTAACCACTGAGCCACATCCCAGCCCTCTTTATTTTGAGACAGGTTCTCACTAAAGTTGCGAAGGCTGGTTTGAACTTGCAATCCTCCTGTCTCAGCTTCATTAGTCAACAGGATTACAGGCATGCCACTATGCCTGGCCAGAACTTATTTCTTGAAGAGGTCTCATGGTGGTTTCTTCTGTGGTGGTTATCTTACTCCGATTTCACAGAATACCCAAGACTGGGTAATTTATAATGAACGGAAGTTTATTGCCTCATGGTTCTGGTAGCTGGGACATCCAAAATCAAGGGACATCTGGTTCAGGCCTTCTTTCTGCATCATCCCTTAGTGGAAGGGCAGAGGGAGGGTGAGAGAGTGCCAGCACACYCAAGAGAGGCCAGTCTTCACTTTATAACAGATCCACTCTCCAGATAACCACAGTAAGCCCTTTATAAACTCAGAGCCCCACGACCTAGTCACATCTTTTTTTTTTTTAATTTTAATATTTATTTTTTTAGTATTTGGAAGACACAACATCTTTGTTTGTATGTGGTGCTGAGGATCGAACCCGGGCCGCACGCATGCCAGGCAAGCGCGCTACTACTTGAGCCACATCCCCAGCCCCCTAGTCACATCTTAAAGTCCCACCTTTTTTACATTGTTGCATTTGGGTTTAAATTTCAGCACCTGAACTTTGGGAGACCCATTCATCCCCTATCAGTGGTAGCAGTGGAGATGGAGAGATAGAGAGTTGCGGATAGACTGACAAATACAATTTAGGRATACAGCATTTTGGTACCAAAAGGGAATATTGAAAAAGATCAGGTTTATTCTTAGGAAATTGGCCTGGATAACTTTGGTGGAACTGGGCTCTGGACTAGAATGTTTGGTTTATAACCAAGGTGTCACCGACTACCAACAGAGTGACCTGGGGGCTAATTTCTGGGCCTTCATTTCTTKACCTGTGTGTGAATCAATGACCTTCTGGACCCACTGCAAGTAACAACCTAACTCGGGGCGGTTGGAAAGCAAGAGTTATTGCAAAGAGCTGAGAAGAGTGCCTGGCCCACTTCGAGGCAGCTAATAATGTTAGCCATTATTATTGTTATTGTTGTTATTGTTACAATTACTGAGATGAGGATGACCGGAAACAGAAACCCAACTAAGAAGGGCTATGAGGACCTGGGAATGCAACAGTTGTTAATATTTTTTTAGTTCAGTGGAATGATGCCGTCTGCTAATGACTCTCAAGTTGAACCAGTTATGGAAGTAATTTATACACCATGTGATAATTAACACTACGGATTAGGGGTGCCCAAGGGAAGGAACAGAAGGGCAGTAAATTTTAATAAGGACTCTAGGGAATGGCCCTGTGAGGGGGGGTGGTGCTGAGGGGAAGGGACTGCAGAGGGAGGTGAAGTGGAGGAAATTGAGACCACAGACATGCCTCCCACCTCTGGGATCAAGATAGTTCCTGAGAATGTCAAGGGGTCCTACACAGAAGAGATTCTGATGCTGTGTCTCCATTTGTAGTTCAAAATGAAAAGGTCCAAGGTCGCTACATGGTAAAATGTGTGGATGGAATTCCTGCAGAGTTCCACCTTTCCTCCTGATGGGCACTTTGATGCGTTTTTTGATATCAAAGTCCTTTTTTAGAAATTTCCCCTTATTTTCGGAGACCCCTGCTTTGCTGGTCTCTAAGCAGGTTCTTGGTTTGCATAACAGATAGTCCTAGTCGAGCCAGGGCCATTTCCTTGCCCTTGCCATCTGCTTGGCTGACTCTGACAAGTCCTTTGGAATTTAATCCCAGAGAGGATCTTCTCCAGGAAGCCTTCCTTGATCCTTCAATAGGCCTTTGTTTTGGGTATTACCAGGGATTGAACTCAGGGGGACTTGACCAGTGAGCCATATCCCCAGCTGTACTTTGTATTTTATTTAGGGACAGGGTCTCACTGAGCCTCACTTTTGCTGAGGCTTGCTTTGAACTCATGATCCTCCTGCCTCAGCCTCCCGAGCTGCTGTCATAACAGGTGTGTGCCACGTTGCCCAGCTTGTGACAGGCCTTTAGTCACATCTGTCTCTTTCACTAATGCACACCTCCCTTTGAAATGGAAATGTTGTTGATGCAGACCATATCTAGCTTTTTAAATCGCTGCATCTCCCTGTGCCTAGAAGAGTGCCTGGCTCAAAGCTGAATGAAAATGTACTGCTCCCCCCTCCCTCCTCACACCCTCATTTCAACAGGCACCTGGCAAAGCCAGCTCTGTATCAGTCACTTCCCTGTTTCCAGGAACCTTGTCACTTCTGCTGCTTCAAGGTCAGAGACCATCCCACCAGCATGCCTGACTCAACCCTGATGGAGCGCCATAAGAACCCAACCAAGGGTAGAAAACTCTGTGCACACACTCCAAGTATATGACTGACTTTGTGAGTGTAGCATGAGGAGGGCCTGAGTTCTCTGCAGGGTGATGTCAAGGATCCTCTGCAAACTGCTGCTCCCAACGAGCCCAA